TCTTTTTTTTTTTTTTTTGTACAGGGATCAAACTCAGGACCTTGTGCTTGTGAGGCAGGCAGCAGAACCACTGAGCTAAACCCCTGGCCCTATTTCTCATTCTTTATGGCTGAGTAGTACTCCATTTTATTTTATTTTATTTAACTTTTCTTTATCCAGTCTCCAGTTGGTGGGCATTTGGGCTGTTTCCAAGCTTTAGCTATTATAAACTGTGCTGCTATGAACATGGGTGTGCATATATCACTGTGGTACTATTCTTTTAATTCTTTTGGGAAGATGCCCAGCAGAGAAATAGGGTCAAATGGGACTTCTAATCCTAGTTCTGTGAGGTTTCTCCATATTGTTTTCCACAGTGGTTACACTGAAAAAAATTTTTTTAAAAGCAGATTCACAATAGCCAAAAAAATAGAAGGAGCTCAAGTGTCCACCGAAATTTGAAATGCAAGAGAAAATGTAACACAGGGCCAGGGACATAGCTCAGTGACACCACACCTGCCTGGCAAGTGCAAGGCCCTGAGTTCGATCCCCAGTACCTCCTTCAAAAATGTACGCAGAGTGGAATATCACCATATCCCATAAAGGCGGGACATTTTGACACATGCATGGATGCAGGGGCCCTGAGAACATTACGCTAAGTGAAACGAGATACAAAGAGTCTGTGATTCCACTTCTATGAGGCACCGATGAGCAGTCAAATTCACTCACAGAAAGAGCCTAGAAGTCAATGTGGTAGTACAGGCCTGTAATCCCAACATCCTGGGAGGCTGAGGCAGGAAGATCACAAGTTCAAGCCCGGCCTGAGCAATTTTATGAGACCCTGTCTCAAAATTTTTAAAGCGGAGCATTGCAGGGAATGTGTGAAGAGCCAGGGTTCAGTCCCCAGTACCAAAAAAAAAGAAAAGGGGGCGGTAGTTGCTATGGGCTGGGAAGAGAATCACTGTTTAATGGATACTGAGTTTCTGCTGCGATGGTGAAAAATGTCCACCAAAATGTTCCTGGCCTGCAGAGCAGCTGCAACTTGGACAAGGGAAGCAGGAAGGGGCTCAGGCGCCATCTCCACCTTGTCCCAGCCGGGCCGGGTGTGGCAGGCTCCGTGTGACAGGCCCTGGGAATCCACCTGCGATAAGATTCCCAAAAGCTACGAGGGCACCAGGCGCTTTCCCACACTGGGTCACAGAGAGCTGCCGGGTTATCTGGGCTCAAGATGCCTCCCTCCGTGGCCTGGCGTTCTGCAGTGATTCCGACTGCCTGCTGGTTTGCGTGCATAAATAAGCAGGATTCCTAGTTTGGATTGATCCCATAAAAAGATATGTTACGCGGTGTGCATACGAAAGTGGATTCGTTTACTGCTGACAGGTAGGAACAGGTTTTACTTTAAGAGGAAGTTAAGAGAGATATGTTTATACTGGTTTTGGGTTATTTTAAATGGTGCTTTGCAAAGTGAAATATTTTTCTAAAATCTCTGCACTTTAAAATAACGCCAAGCTTTATTTGAGACTAATATAACAAACTGCCTCCGACTTCTAAGCATGGTGCTGAGGTCCCCACCTCCTGCAGTTGCACTGTTTTCTTTTTCTCTTCTTGGAAACATTTCCCGCTGTGCTGCCGGGTTGGCCTCCGCGGTCCTTCTGTCTCGGCCTCCAACCGTGCACACCACGGTGCCGGCCCCAGTGCACATCTCCCAGGGCAGCGCAGAATGGCTGAACCATTCCAAAGTGGGTGTATTACTTCGTAAAAAGTTGGTTCTCATTGTAAAAGCTCCGCACCCCTGAGAAGCGGCCACTGCACAAGGGAGAGGAGTGTGCGGAACAGGCTTGGAGCCCAGCCCTCTGCCCGGGCCACCTGGAGGCCCTGCCACACCTCATTCCTGTTCCTCGGTGCTCTGCTCACCCACAGCCTCTGTCGGCCTCTGGAGCTGCTCGTGAGGTTCCTTCCCGCCGGGCACAGCTCCTGTCCAGAGTGTAAGACCTAAGGCCTCACTGCCGCTCCGAGGAGCTCGACAGCCTCGAGACTCGCCCGGGAAGGAGCACACCGGACACGCTGGAGAGGGAACAGACCTTTAGTAGTCTGGCCAGACGGCACTGCCGGAGCCAAGCAGGTCAGAGAGGCACCAGCTCAGGGGCTGAGGCCCTTTTCATAAGGGGGGTAGGCAGGGTGGGGGGTCTACTCAAGATGCTTACAGAAGGTCCCAAGGTTTTCAAAACATTCCTTCTGGGCAGACAAAGAGTGAAACAATCTTTATCTATTTACCCAGAACTACTAAGCGTTCACCTGTTAATTCACATTAATCACAGTGGAGACTAGGATTTCGATTACACAATTCTGCAGTCTTACATTCCTAAGCACAGGTAGGGGTGCAACTACAAAGGGGAGTAGTACACAGCGGACTTGGGGCCATTACTCACCCAACATGGACTCCCTTTAGTTCAGTCAGGTCTTACACAGAGGGCGGGCGGCACAGACCCGAGGGACAGTGTGGCCGGGGAAGACGGAGAGCAGCACCTGCCCTCGGCCGGGACCTGGGGTCCTTCTGCCCGGGGCACAGCACCGGGATACAGAGGCCCTCGGAGGAGGCACCTGGAGCGGGCTGAGCCAGGACTGGCAGAGGTGCGGGTTGCACAGGCCTCGTGTGTGCCTGGCACGTGCCCTGCCACAGCCGACACCAGCCTCACTGCCCGCTGCACCTGTCACCTCCGCTGTGAAGGGACCGTGGGCCTCCTGCGGCCCGGCCTGGCCACCGCCTCTCCATCAGTTTCCGCCCCCAAGGCTCTCATTTCAAAGCCGGTGCTGCAGGGCTGCGGTGCCGTGCAGAGTGGGCACCTGACTGGCTTCTAGTCCAGCACCACACACAGGAAAGATATGACACTGAGCAACACATACGTTTAAAGACCGAGAGAGCAAAACTGCCTTCTTGGTAAACTTTATTCTTTAAAAGGTTATAAGGAAACGTCAAGCACGGCACTAAAATTACGTAGGAGGAGCCCTCAGGGACTGGTACCCGCCCACAGCGTGAGTGCTTAGTGATTTTCATGGAAGACCTGACTCCTCCCGGGTCCCTCTGAGCCCCTGCCCAGCCCCTCACAGTGGTGATGCCCCTTTGGAATAGCTGTGTTGTTTTCTGGTTTTGTTTGTTTGTTTGTTGAGACAGGGTCTCACTATGTATCCAGGCTGGCCTCGAACTAGTGGATCTTCCTGCTTCAGCCTCCCGAGTGCTGGGGTCACAGGCACCACCACACCCGGCTCATCAGAAGAGTTTAAGGCTCTTCCCGTCAGTCTGCCGCTCCAGGGTGGCCGTGCCATTTCCTGCCCCTCCCCATGCTCCTCACAGACTGCTGCTGCCCTGAGGAGAGGGGAAGAGGCCTTCGTGAGAGATGGTTCCACGGCCCTGCTCCCCGCTGTCATCCGGGATCATCCTCATCCACGGCCTCCACTCTTCTGAGAAGAGCACCGTAACCCTGTGGTCCTGGCAGTGACGCCCGGGGAGCAGCACATAGCTCCCTCCGCCCTGCGCCCCAGCCCACCCAGCCACCATGGGGACAGCTCTGTGTTGCTTCCTGCAGGACCGGGCCCCTTGGGAGCACTGTGTCCGCGGGGTGATTCTTCTTGGCTTTCCCGGGTCCAGGTTGGGGCCCTGCTTCCGCTTTCAGTCTGAATCCCGGAGCCCCAGCCTGCCTGGCTCCCCTCCCTGCCCTGAGGTGAGGCGCTGCTGAGATGCTGCGGCGGCAGCTGTCCCGGGAGGGGCCTGCCTGACGCCCCCTTCCTCCCTGGGCCCTCATTTGGTGCTGCAGATCAGGAGCAGGAGCAGCCGGGGAAGTGGGTGCTTTCGGCGGGAGGGGCGGCTGCCTCCGCTCCCCCAGCTGTGGCTCCGCCTCCTCACCTCCCCCTCTCTCCCTCCTTGCTAACCAGCAGACACCGGTGCGCGCCACTGAGTGCATTCTTAGGCACTGTTTATTTCAGATGTTTACAATTTTCATTTAAGATAGCTGGTAAAAAGGAAAAGCATTTAAAAAAATAGATCATACTGACTGGCTACACAGGCGTCAGCCTTTCATCTTTGCTTTCAGACAAGTTGGAGGGGACACTTAAAAGTATTATTTCCAAAGAGTCAGTGTAGAGCTGAGGTATTGCATGTAACAGGTGTCATCTCTGCCCAGTGAGGTCCCCGTTAGTCAACAGGAGCCTCCTCGCCACACGCCGTTCCAGTACTTTCCTTCCAAAGCAGATCTCGTCCGAGCACACGCTCACAGAACTGAGGGTCTCTCAGACACCATTCAGGTTGCTATAGAAACTTCCTCGCCGCCGGTGCCCGGCTGCACTTGGACTTGGGGGCCCCTCGGGGCCTGAGCCGGGAAGCCGGGCCCACTGCAGACTGCGGCACCGGACAGGCTGCGGATGTTCCAGCCTGTGCAGCAGGAGGCTGGGGCTGGCG